CAGACTTATTACACTGTTCAACAAATTTTTATTTTTTGCCAGTTTTGGAAACAAAAGGATCCATTTCTTAATGAATTTCACATTCTGAGTTCAAATATAACAATGAAATTTGTCAATTGGCTCTAGTTTTTCTGTAAACGGAAAGTTTTCTACTATAGGCGTAATGACTACATAATGCACAATAATTATATAGATAGATGTCTTTCCACAAATATAAAGCAAGTGATATTGACTACATAACAAAGCCTAAATGGCATAATATATTGCATAGGAGTACCAAGAAAAATTATAGCCATAAGCTAAGTTGAATCATTTTAATACTTAGGATTCTCACTAGTTTTGTCTTCAGTTTGTGTCGGTTTTGCTTCTCTTGGCTTTTCTCTTGTATTCGAGGAAAGGGCTATCTCTTACAACTGCACGTGACTACACGCTTTAGGTTCTTCCTCACTTGACTCAACCACGAAGGATTCTGGTGCTTTAGGAATTGGTAGCCCCTCTCCATGAGGAACTGGACGTATTGCCGATGGAATATTTGGATAGTGCAAAGATAACTTTTTCTTCTTATTTAGCCCTTTTACAATTGGAGGCACCATACAAAAGTAACAATTACTAACATGATCTGTTGGCTCTCTCCAAATCATTGGCACAGCGAAAGGCATAGATGCCTTTTTTCCATTCAACCATTGCTCCAGTGCCGTCCCACAAGAATTGCAGCATATATGTGGTGCCCAGCTCTTGTCCTGGTCTCCTATCTTGCAGCCAAAATACAAGTTGTAGGCTTTCTTAATCATTCCTGTTATCCTCCTTTTTTGTGAGATAAAAGTTATTGCACCGCAGATATAGCAGAAATTATCTGCTTTATTCACACAAGTTCGAGGCATTACTGAGTAGCCTATATAAGCATAAAACGAAATGTAAAGACGCTGTCGAACTACAATCAGCTACAGATACTGCAGCTTTTATGCAGTGAAGTGATGCAATTAAAGGCTAATATTGCATCATCTCAGTATACATGCAATTTTCTATTGGTCACCAGTATCAATTGCGCAATATGCAGCTGAAGTTGCATCATAATTTTGAATGGCTTACGTCATTAGATGGGTGAATATATCATGGAAACTAGAGCCAATCAACATTTTTTAGGGTCATTTTCGTTTTCAGCACCCCAAAATTATGTAAGATTAGCTAATTTTATGCCCAAAACTTTTTACCTGTTGAACAGTGTTATGGGTCTAATCTATTATTCTATCCAGATTCCTATGTTGTTCTACTTCTCTGTAGTCCTCATCTCTAAGAATAATTGACAGTAATTCTACTTCTCTGTAGTCCTCATCTCTAAGAATAATTGACAAGCACTTGTCCTTCTTATATATTAACCCACTGGGATGCTATTAGACTAGGGCTTTGTAAAGGTACACTAAACTCATGCATGAGTGCCATTATCATAGGGACACCTGCTTTCAGACGATTTTAAAGGACACCCAATGCCAACTGCAATATATGTATTGATGTTTGTCCAGTGTCACTTTAGGTGTGCGGCAACACAAACAATATCGCATTGTAGCACTGTGTGTCAATCTGTCACAACTTGCAGCGCCTGTTCTGCATGGCCTGCCAGCAACAGAATCAGCTTGTGTTAGAGAAGAAGTTCACTTTGGGGTTAATTTACTAAAACTGGAGAGTGCAAAATCTGGTGCAGTTCTGCATAGAAACCAATTGGCTTCCAAGTTTATTTTGTCAAAGCTTAATTGAACAAACTGAAGTTAGAAGCCAATTAGCTACCATGCTACCGATTAGCTATCCAGATTTTGCACTCTCCAGTTTTAGTAAATCAGCCCTTTTGTGTACATGTAAAAATAAGTCCAACAGCAACAACCTGAGACCATTCAATATGCATACGATGTATATACTGTATAATATGACACAAATATATATCATGTTTTTATTATGTTACTTGGTTATAAAGTTTTCCTTCTTTTTTTTTCTTTAAAATAACAGTGGTTTTGCACAGAGCAGTTTCCAATCCTCGTCTTCCACAGGTCAGGGTTTCTGCTCTCTGGCCCCCCCCATACTAAGTGCCCCAAAGCAAGCCGCCCCCCTCACTCCCTCATCAGTGGCTGTGATTGACAATGGCTCCTGCTGCTCTCAGCCAATGAGGGACCGAAAAGACCCAGGGAAGCTTTTGGCCTCAGCTTTTTTGCACATCGCTGGGTCCAGATCAGGCACAGGTAAGTATTAGGGAGGTTGCGGGGGGAAACTGCACATTACCCTCATGCATAGAATGCGTAAAGGTAAAAAACCTTCAGCCTTTACTACCACTTTAACCACCTCAATACTAAACTGTATAGTTAAGCAGGGGCAGACAGGTATTTCAAAAAACGGTGCTCTGTCTACTGCTCATTGAACAGTTCAGATCACCGGCAAAAGGCAGAGAGCTAATCAGAGTGAAGTGGTTCTTTGCCTTGTGATAGCTGTGGCTTGTCACAGCGATCACCAATGTATATGCTGCAAGTGCTCTCCTTTACCCCTTCCTATCAAAATGGAGGCAGCAGGGTAAGTTTTAATTCATTTGATTATGGGTCTCTTTGCCTTTATAGGCATTATCCTATTACCCTATCACTGCCCCCCCCCCCCCACACACACACACACACACACACACACACACACACACACACACACACCTCCTGTGTATCCCATCTCCATCCTGTCCCTGTAGTGACCTCCATGTCATGACCTCCCTTATCCTGCACATTAACCCCCTCATGTCCATCCTCCCCTTGTATGTGACCTTTACAGCTATCATAACTCAAAGTGTTTATAGGCATTGCATATACAATTTTTGTAAGTTATACATTCAAAAGGTTGTCATTATTATACCAAAATACATAAAAGCTAAATTCTTTGCCATACCACATACATTTTTTTTATTGTCACTGACTGTATGAAACAATATTTAAGAATACATAGCGGGTGTCGGCTCTAGGCTTTTGAGGGATATTTACAGATGAGATGAATCCTTTTCCCCCTAGTGCTCAATAATGGGACTGCTATATCATTTCCTGTTAGCAGAGTGGATCCATTTCTTCTGACAGAGAGGACCTTGGGCCCTATAGTCCTATAACCAATACATACTGTATGTCTGAGTGCTACAACTAGCATAGAGCGGGGAACTAGAAGGTTGATGGGAGAATAGATATATTGTACAGCAAAGAACCGGCTTGCTTTCTTGGCGTGGGATTCAGAGCTGAACACAGTGTGACTGCCGTTCCTCTCCAGAGACAGATTATTTGCAAACTGCTGTGGGACTCTGCACATCAGTTAAGTACAGCTGTGACACTGATCACCACACCAGGATTACATCAGCATTGGGGCTGTCACTATTCACACAGACATCTTTGCATGCTGCACTGACAAGCGATCAGACACATGCACATCCCTGCAAGCAGCCAAGAGCCTGTATAATAACTCTTGTTCCTAGGTGGACGTGCTATCCATGGGATTATTGAGTGGGAGGATGCCCAACCTCTTTCTGTCATCACTCTAGAGACGCTGCATGCAGACACCTTTACACTCCAGTATTAGGAGATATTTGCTTTGAGCAGTAGTACAGCCTGTTTAACTTATATGAACTACTAGTATTCATTACTGTTTATGGGCCCCACCATTGCTAGCAGAAGACAGAAAACACCAGCATTATCAAGAACTTTAAACATCACAGGACAAGTTGCAGTCTCTAGTTAAAGGGACCTCTTCCCTTATAAGACCATTCATTTTCAAATTAGGATACGTATATCTATTTTTGTCGGAGCATACATCTACATAATTCTCTGCATCCACCATTGCGGCGCTGGTGGCCTAGAGGGAGCTGATGAGTCAACAAGCCCTTTCTTCCCCCTCTTACTGCTGTTGTTGCAGTTTAATAGTTGAACCTTACTACTCATGACTGTATAATTTGTTAAACGTTGTTAACTGATTATTCCTATTTTGCCAGTGTTCCATTTGTATGTGTTGACTGGGGTTGTGTATCTTAAACCCATTATTATTGTGGTCTACTCTTTTGAACAAGACTAATATAGAGGTGTTACTAAAGAATTGTGTCTCTTACATTATTATCCTATACTGTTGAAATATGTTTGAACCCAGAGTGTCAGAGGTGTCGGGAGGCTTGCAAGGTCAGGGCAAGCCCTGTGCATGATCAAGTGACCCCTGTGGGGGTACTGCTACATATATATATATATAAAATTACACTTACAATACACTACAGGTTTGTGGCCCTATCATATGGTGTTTATTCTAAAATTTGCAGTCATTTTGAAATATAAAATTCAGTTTTGAACGCCAGTTCCGACTTTAGAAAAGGTTCCTGTACTGCTTCAAGGTGACTTCTATCCAACTTCCCATAGACTTTAATGGAAGTTGCCTCCAAGTTGGGTCCTCATCTATATTCATGTGATTTGGATTCGACATTATAGTACAATTACCCAGGCATTCCCTGAAAGTCGCTTCAATGTCACATCAAGTTGCATCAAAGTAGTACTCAAGTCCCCAGGAAAAGTCACACTGCAAGTCACGTGACTTTCGGGTCGCAGTAGTGTGAACTGAGCTGTTGGTATGCGTACTAGGCTCCCTCAAGAGCTAACTCTGAGCAGCTTAGTAGATTGTTCTAAGAATGGGCTGGATATTAACATTTATAGGTAATAGCACCTTGGATTGTTAATCCAGAAAATATCCAATTACGTTCTGGGGGATCAGGAAGGAATTGATTTTTCCCTTGCTGGAGTAAATGCTTTATATAGGGTTTGAGACTTCTTCCGGATCAACTGTGTTTTCTGGATTTTGTATATAAAGGCTTTTTATTTATTCTGTTTATTTTTTTTTTTTTATTGTGGTTGAACTAGAATGACTGTCTTTTTTCAACCTTAGTAACTACGTATGTAACTATGTTGTCACACTTCTGGTTGGTTGATTTCCTAATCTGTGTTATTTATTCACAGAAACGGCTATGCTGTTGTTTCCTGCCCTTTCCTTTCTGGCAGTTGCTGGAATTATCTCTTTATTTTGACTAATATGCAGGTTAGTTTTACCACAAAAACAAAATAATTTTTATAACAAACCTATTAATTAGCATGCACCCAAACTCTCCCTATTGTGTTCTGTGACTTTGCAAGAGTTCTCACTTTATGTTCAGTCTGTGGAATTACATTCTCTCTCTTCATAGGTGGGAAATCTCTTTGGTGCTCAGCGTTCCACAATTATAACTCTCTACAATGGAGCCTTTGACTCTTCTTCTGTCATACTTCTGATAGTTAAGGTAAGAATTTATTGTTGAAATTTACTTTAAGAGTGAGCTCTTATATTTCTCTGAGAGTCTAGAGGCAAGATACCTTGCAGTTGTTTTAAATGGACGTGCAGTTCATTTCCTTCCGAATTGAAATTTGGATGAATTTTCCATTATTCCGAAATTCGAATGTATTTGAATTACAATAGTATCAAATTTAATTTGAATTAATCTGAAATAACTAAATTAAATTTGGCCAAAATTTAAATAGATTTGAATTCAAAAACACAATAAAAAACAGATTCAAATTAAAAAAAACAAAAAATAGAATAAAATATACCTAACAGAAAAAAAAGAAATAGAAACGAATAGAACAGAAAATAATAGAGGAAAAAAAACAGACTAGAAAATAAAAGAATAGAACAGAATACAGCAGAAGACAATAGAGTAAAACAGAACAAAATAGAACAGAAAATAAAGGAATAGAAAAGAATAGAATCCATTAGAATAGAAAAAGAATAGAATCAATAAGAAAAAAATAAAAAAAAGTTTAGAATAGAAAATCAAAGAATAGAAAAGATTAGAATAGAGAATAATAGAATAGTATAGAAAAACAATAGAATCAAATAAAATGGGACATAACTGTATTTCTGAAATCCGAATTTTGCACAGAATAAATTTGAATTCAAACAGAATACATAAGAAAAGAATAGAATAGATTATAAAAGACTAAATTACCAATATAGTCACGCAACTCTTCATATAGCCTATATACTATCAAAAGCATTTATGGATTTATGGATTGTAAAGTTACAATTATTATCAAATCTGTTTATTTTCTAATCCAATGGGATTGTTTTTGAATCTGTTAGAATTATTTTCAAATCTGTTAGAACTGTTTTCAAATCCATTAGGTATTTTCAAATCCTTTAAAATTATTTTCGTATCTGTTTCGAAATTTCAAATTCGGTCGAATTTGTATAAACAAAACGAATTCTGAAAAATGAATTAAACAAATGTAACTAATCGAATGAAACGAAATTAGTCAAATAATCAATAGAAATGAAACCAATTTTTTTCATTTTGCACGTCTAGTTTTGAACTCCTCTCCACTGCTCCACCAGATATTGTTCATTTTACATCATGGATAAGTGTTAAATTATTTAAATGTATAGGCTTCATGAAAGAATACTCTCATAGTATGGTTGAAAACAATAATTTTGGAAGTTTTTTTCAAATATTTAAATATTAAAAAAAAATTGTTTAAATCGCTTTTAATGCGTTTTGTGGTGCGTTTAGCCATTTTGTCAGGAATGGTTTGTTACATCCATAGCTAAACACATATCAAAAAACTAAATTTGTTTGTACATACCTTGAAATTTATTTCTTGGGGTTCATTAACCTCTTCCCGCCAGCTGTATGCATATATGCGACCTCTAGGCTTGTGGGCCTTAATGCCAAGATGCCGCATATATGAGTACCAAAATGTAAACAATCCTGTGCTGAGAAAGCAGAATGACCGGCGGGTAATTGAAAGCTCCTAATCTCTACTTGCGACAAACAATCACACCAGTCACATGATCATTACAATCTACACTTTGCTGCATGGCACGTGGATGCCTTACTGTGCACCAGTGTTTCCCTAGAAAGAAAGCCAAATAAGGTAGAGCAGGCATATATTTTATTCATACACTGAAAGCAGGATAGATTTAACTATCAAAAATTGACCAAGTCACTGCAGCAAGGACTAACCAAGGTAAGACCTTGTGTCTCTTGAAATAGAAGGCGTGAACAGAACAAGGAGATTGAGTGACTGCAGATATTGACACAGCACTTTTGTTCCCCAGTGGGTTAACCCTATCTGTGGAATAATGCCACTAAACAGTACCAATAAATGTAATAGCCACCAATGCTCGGTCCATATGGAGTAAAAAAAAAAAAAAATCTTCAGAGACTGGGTCACACCAGAGGCTGTGCCAAAGCTCTGGACCGGGAAGGCAATCTGCAGCTAATAAACACAGTAGACAAAAAGACTGGAATGCACCATAAGCAGATCCCAGTGTCTCAAGATTACAGACCGGCTACTTTATAAAAAAAATAAAACTTCAACATTTTTAAAAACAATAGAAAATAGAGGATCCCCTAAAATAATTTTCTGCAACCCCCAGCCCTCTAGGAACCCCCAGGTGCCCCTAAAATAGAGGTGCCCCTAAAATAATTTTCATTAACCCCCAGCCCTCCAGGAACCCCCAGCAACCTCTAGAGAAGCCCTTGGATCCCACAGAAACCTGGCTTAGAAAGTATGATCTAGAACAACTGTTCTCAACCTTTGTACCCCTGTAGAGTACAGGAATTTAGTATTGTGAACTGCTGAGACCCCCGGTAGGAAGTCTTCACTGATTACCTGGACTTGGAATAACCCTTTTGGGGTTTTCAACACCACATTATGAGAGAGTATAGGGAACTACACTTAGATCTATGTGGTAGATGGCTTTTATGAGGATCAGCAGACAATCAGAGGTATATAGGGTCAGGACCATAAGTACTGGGAACTATGAAACCCAAAGAGGGGCAGCTACCACCCTGGATTGTGTGCTGGACATGTGCAGACTCATACAGGCATGCCACCTGCATGACTTAGCTGTGTTGGTGTCCTGATACTTCCACCCGTGATGAATGGAATGACACCATGAACTATTGAAGGATGCAGGGTCAGGTGAGGAGCAGCAAAGCAGCAGAGAGGGGAGTGTAAGCAGCACCGAACACAGAGGGATCCTGGCCCTGCAGGAAGAGGGGAACAGTTGATGGTACCTACAGCCAGAAGGCACACCGCCCGGGTGCCGCAGCTATTATTCCGGGGGAGTACCCATGGCTAGGCTGTCAGGAGGTCCGGGAGCTGGCTCATGCCCTGTTCAGTTCTCATCAGCAGAAGCCCCACTGTAAGAGATGGGACTGGATCTTCAGCAGGTCAGGCTAAATGCGGGGAGGGGTGCTGGGATGTGTCCGAATGGCACTTGGTCTTCACTGAGAGGAAACCCGTCACTACTGGCCAACGGCTCTGTCTGCGTTTGGAGGATGAGCTGACAGTGATAGCGAGCCTGGGGGAGGGGCCAGAAAGGGAGGATCCAAAGAGCCAGGACATGCCCACTCCAACTATATAATTCAAGGTGAGAGAATGCCCACTCCGTGATGTCATGTGGCCCGGAGGACCTGAACACACCCAGAATTGTCCACTGGGTCACCTCATCATCGCCACCAGAGGTGGATCAGCACCAGCCAACAAATGATCTGTGTCATACCAATTTACAGTGGCCATAGCAGTGCCCTAGGAGGCTTCCTAGTTCGCCTAGCGGTAGCGCCAGCCCTGCCGCCAACCCCTGCAATCTTCAATCCACCAAGGTGTGGATACAATCCAAAACTATTGCCAAGTATATGACAAAATAGACAGCTTCATAAAAAGCAAAAGCAATCTCAGACTGGGAAGGGTTATACCTGGCTGGGCAATTACTATTTTGTTCTCCAGTGTCCAAATCCTCCTGTAGGAGGCAATATATCCCATTGTCTCTAAATAACTGAAATTGTGTCCCTTAATGAATGAGAGAGAAAATTTTTAAATTCCTCAATAATGTGAAAAAAGTCAAGTACAAATAATATTTGCAGGTAATTGGGAAAATATACAGAAACAACTAAAAATTTCAATTTCATTTAAATTATAAATAAGCTGAAGCTCAGTCCATTCATGTGGCTGGTCTATACTGGATATATTTACTTGTAGTCAACCATTCAAACAAAAAGTTCATGTATAAACTAATAGGAAGACTATAGAGCATCTTTAAACAAAAATACATCTTTAAAATTACTCAAATATATCTAATTTTGTAAGAACAGTAAATTATCAAATACGGCAGAGTGAGAGGGAGCAAAATTATTAGAATATTTCAGTACATGAAATTTAGAGTTGGCTAGTACAATTTTTGTTGTTTTTTACTGAGAGAATCAGCTTCCAGAGGAGATTCCAACCTGTTCTTTCAAAAGCCACAATGCCTCCCAATGGTCATCTAAATATAAGTTTATTCTTATACTTTGTTAATTTACCTGTTTATTCACCTATTTGTATATTTGTTTAATGTTAATTATTATTACATGCTCATTTTTTAATTTTATATGATTTTTCATTTGTTTAATAATGTAGTTATATCCATTCATTATTCATGTATTAATGTTTTCATGCACTTACAACCAGGCTACGTTATAACCAATTTTTTCTTGTAGGTTCTGTATCAAAATGGAATTTCACTGAGAACTTTGTTCCTATTCCTTACATGCTGCAGTGGTATTCATATTCTGAGAACTTTTTTTCTATTGCCAAAAGGTCACATTCCTTACCCTGTGCCTGTGGGGTACAACTATGGGTACGTATTAAATAGTAATATTTGAAACTAACTGAAATTATAGTGTATACTCATATCATTAAATGCCCCACATAAGTTCCCGTTGGCAACTGCTACTTCTATGCTGCTTCTTCTCTCTGGATCTGTGACCTTTATTCTTGGCTTCTTGAAAAAGAGCTGGTCATGACTAGGCTATATACCAGTGGTTTATTGTGGCAAGGAATAATGCAGCAGATCTTAACAAGAACAGCCCAAATCCTATCTGCATTTGCTGGTGTCATAACATAGCCAAGGTGGCTTATGTGATTTCTCTATTGGTCCTGGATTGGGTATTTCCTGTTTTTGATGACGAACATGCCACCTCTGCTTTAAGTTCTGTTCTAAGTTTATGTCAATCTAGTATGACTGTGGGTCAATATTCCATACAGTTTCAGACCCTGGCGTCCAAATTGGCCTGGAACAACAACTCCCCAAAAACAACTTTTTGGCAAGGACTTCCTGATTGCGTTAAGGATGAGCTGCTGGCAGAGATTCACCCCCTCCTTGGATAAGTTGATTTCCCTCAACATCTGCATCAATATCAGGTTTCAAGGACACACCTTGGAGAGCAAACGCCAGCAAGACTTCTATCCAACTCTTCAGCTTACCTCAATCAATGTCTCCAGTGCCTAGGGAATTCTCTGGTCTTGGAGCGGGGTCTACTGGACAGAACCTCTTTGCCTCTTCACCCTGTGTTCACCCACTTTAGTTGTCCATCTCATAGTCAGAAATCAGTCCAATTCGGTTCCTGCAATCGATTCAGGATCTGTGGCTGAAATTCATTGGTGCACCTCTAGCTCTAAAACTGGGGCTCCATGTAAAACCTGTTCACATGCCTCTTTCTGACTCAATGGCTTCTTACTTTCCTGCAGTCCTTTACTCCAGCAAGCAGCCCCTCTGGAGATGTGCAAAGGAGTTGTCACGTACCTGATTGGAGACTGAAATGACGAGGTCGGCCTCACTTGTGTCACTAGCCCTGACCCCACTGGAAGTGGAACAGAGGGTGTCTAGGGACCAGGGGGACAAGAGCGCCAGCAGATGTTGTTTGCAGCTCTTGCAGTTGGAGACTTTGGAAGACTAATGAACCTCCGATTCAGGATCAGTAGTGATATGCAGAGCTGGTATGGTAGGTCACCAGGTGTGCACCAGAGCAAGGCAGGAAGCAGAGATGGGAGACAGGAGCAATGTCATAGCAACAGCCGGGGTCATCATTGAGTGGACAGCGAGGTACCAAATCAGAAGCAAGCCAAAGTCAGGAGCACAGCCAAAGTCAGGAACCAGTTTCAAGCAGGAGAGTAATCAGAGTCAGATCAGGAACAAGCCAGGACAGCAACAAGGAAATCACACAGGAACGAGCATGAAATGGGGAACAGCTGAAGACCAGTCAGCACTCAGCACAGGCACCTTTTAAATAGTCCATCTGGTGCCAATCTTCACCGTGCGTGTTCATGTGCGTGATCGTGCATTTTTGTGCACATGCACACATCTATGTCATTTGGCAGTATTCATTGCAAAATTCTTAGACTGCTTGGTAAATGCCGCATGAAAAGACATTACACTCAATTCACAGATAGAAATAATTAAGAAAATGCATGCAGTAACTAACCTATTCTTGACCGCGCTATAGCCAAATGATGCCTGCACCATAGTCGTCCAGCTCTGGAAGGGCATCTTATGACGTCCTCCCAGAATGCGCCCCCAGCGGTGCATACCCAGTACTCTCTGTGTTCACTGTGTCCTTTGGACACAAATGATCACATGACACAGCGGCCTTTTACCATGTGATCCGCTGTGTCCAATCACAGCGGATCACTGTGTAAATACACTTGCCATTTATGAGCAGCTCTTTCCTCTGTTGTCACAGCGTGCGTAATGTACTGCTGATAACCAACAACTGTGAAAGGAGAGATCTACACTTATAATCAGGGCACTGATTATCAGTGCCCTGATGATTATTATTATACAGGATTTATATAGCGCCAACAGTTTGCTCAGCGCTTTACAATATAACGGGAGACAATACAGTAACAATACAGTTCAATACAAGAGGGATGTGAGGGCCCTGCTCCTTGGAGCTTACAGTCTAGGAGGGAGGGGCTAGTGGTACAAAAGGTAGTAACTGTGGGGGATGGACTGGTTGGAAGAGTAGAAGATTCCAGTATTAGCTGAGGGCAGGATAGGCTTCCCTGAAGAGATACGTTTTCAGAGATCGCCTAAAAGTGAGCAGAGTAGGTCGATAGTCTGATAAATTGGGGTAGAGAGTTCCAGAGGATGGAGGAAGCTCTGGAGAAGTCCTGGAGACGAGCATGGGAGGAGGAGACAAGTGAGCTAGAGAGTAGGAGGTCTTGCGAGGAGCGGAGAGTACGGTTCGGGTGATATTTAGAGACAAGATCGGTGATGTAATTTGGGGCAGAGTTATAAATGGCTTTATACGTTATTGTTAGTGTTCTGAATTGTATCCGTTGGGCAATGGGAAGCCAGTGGAGGGATTGGCAGAGAGGGGTGGCAGATACAGAACGGTTAGTAAAGTTGATGAGTCTGGCAGCAGCATTCATGATAGACTGAAGAGGGGATAGCCTGCGATTAGGTAGGCTAATGAGGAGGGAGTTACAATAGTCAAGGTGAGATATAACAAGGGAGTGAAAGAGTTGCTTAGTAGTTTCCGAGGTTAGGAACGGGCGTATCTTGGAGATGTTGCGGAGGTGAAGTCTACAAGATTTGGACAGTGATTGGATTTGGGGCTGAAAGGACAGATGGGAGTCTAGGGTTACACCTAGTACCCTGGCATGAGGGGAGGGACTGATGATTGTGTTATTGATCTTGATGGATAAGTCAGGGGAGGGGGCACGGGCTGGAGGGAATACTAAGAGCTCAGTTTTGGAAAGATTGAGTTTGAGGAAGTGGAGTGACATCCATGCCGAGAGAGTAGAGTATTTTGAGGAGGAGGGGATGGTCAACCATATTAAAAGCTGCAGAGAGGTCAAGTAGTAAGAGAACGGAGTAGTGGCCATTGGTTTTAGCAGTTAATAGAGTGAGTTTTAGTAGGGCAGTTTCAGTGGAGTGTACAGAGCGAAAGCCAGACTGTAAAGGATCAAGAAGGTTGTTGTCGGTGAGGTGGGAGCTCAGGCGATTGTAGACTAAGCATTCTAGGAGTTTAGAGTTTATGGGAGTGATGTGCACATGCTTTAGAGGGGAGGGGAAGGCACCAGTAGAGAGGGAAAGATTTAAGATGTGAGTGAGGGAGCATAGGATGGAAGAAGAGGGTGACCGTAGTAGTTGTGAGGGGACAGGATCCAGGGGGCTGGTAGTGAGACGGGCTTCTGCGAAAACCTTAGTCACCTCTTCGGTAGTGGCGCCGAGGTCAAAAGAGGAAAGTGTTGAGGGAGGTTTAGTATAAGGTATGCTAAGTGGGATGGATGTCTGTGCAGTGGCGACGCCCCTACAAATTGCATCAATCTTGTTTTTGAAATGATTTGCAATCTCATGAGCAGTGAGTGAGGTACTGGGTGGAGGTAGAGAAAGTAGAGCGTTAAAAGTAGAGAAGAGACAACGAGGACTGGATGAGAAGGTATTAATAAGAGTGACAAAGTAGGCTTGTTTGGCAGCATGAAGGGAGGAATTGTATGTTAAGAAAGCAGATTTATATCGGGTGAATGCTTGGTGGGATTTGGTTTTACGCCACAACCGCTCCAATGCACGACTATGTCGTTTAAGATTTCTGCTGTCGTCTGTCTGCCAAGGTTGTAACGGTCGGGGCCTGTTGCTTCGTGTTGTTAGAGGAGCAAGCGAGTCTAATGCGAATGAAAGTGAACTGTTATAGACAGCAGTGGCCAGGTCAGGGCAGGAGATTCTGTCATAGTTGCAGAGTGGAAAGGAGCAGGGTTCAAGTTGTGAAGGTTTCGGCGGGTAATTGTTTGTTGCTTGGAGGGATAGGTGTTTGAAGACGAGGAGACTGTGAAGGTGATGAGATTGTGATCAGAGAGAGGAAAGGGGGTGTTTGTGTGGTTGTAGGGAGTGCAAAGACGGGAGAAAACAAGGCCTAATGTATTCCCATTAGAGTGAGTGGAGGACTGTATACATTGTGCTAATGCAAAAGATGAGGTTATGTTGAAGAGTTGGGATGTAGCCGGGTTGTTGACATTAATAAGGATGTTAAAATCTCCGAGAATGATAGTGGGTAGTTCAGAGGAGAGAAAGTAGGGTAGCCAGGCGGAGAAATCATCAAGAAGTGGGATTATCAGTGCAATTACAAAAGTGCCCATCAGTGCTGCCCATCAGTGCTGCCCATCAGTGCCACCAGTCAGTGCCCTTCATTGCTGCCTATCAGTGCCCATCAATGCCGCATATCAATGCAGCCTCATCAGTGCTTCCTCATCAATGCCCACCAGTGCCTCCTCAGCAGTGGAGCCTATCAGTGCCCATCAGTTTTGCCTATCAGTGCAGACTCATCAACACACATTGGTGAAGGAGAAAATTACTTGTTTGCAAAATTTTATAATAGAAACAAAGAAAAACTTTTCTATAAAATGTTCAATCTTTTTTTGCTTATAGTGCAAGAAAAAAAAAACCCAGTGGTGATTAAATACCACCAAAAGAAGGGCATGGCATGGAAGTGTTTAAAAAAAGTGTTTAAAAAAAGGGAAGTGTTTAAAAAAAGGGTATCTGTTCACAATCTAATGAGCATTTGGCTAGTCTACACTCTCATTTGGCAGCTGGACATTGTATTGCTCTCCACATCCCTAATGGTGCTTTTTAAGGCAAATTTGCTGGAGTTTCAGGCCATTCTAAGCAGGGCGAGGAGAAGAAGACTGGTTGTCATGCATTGACATTCCTTTAAGTGTCGCACCTTGCTGGATGATTTCCCTGAAGCAGACGTGCTCACTAAATTTTGTCTAAGGAGATGATTATGCTGATCTTTGGGTAATTGTGCCCTTTTCTGGAGCCCACCACACTGCGCAGTCATGCTATTCCACCCATGACCAA